CACAATCTTAGATTATTAAACGAGATACACCCAGCATCATAAGAGCAGTGTTACCCCAGCACTGTATGTGGTATCATACAAAACACTATGTGATACTACACAACACCCTATATAATACCGTACAACACTGTGTTACCACAAAGCACCTTACGTGTTACCACAAAGCACCCTGTGTTACCACACAGCACCCTGTGTTACCACAAAGCACCTTACATGTTACCACAAAGCACCTTACGTGTTACCACACAGCACCCTGTGTTACCACACAACACCCTGTGTTACCACACAGCACCTTACGTGTTACCACACAACACCCTGTGTTACCACACAGCACCTTACGTGTTACCACAAAGCACCTTACGTGTTACCACAAAGCACCTTACGTGTTACCACACAACACCCTGTGTTACCACACAGCACCCTGTGTTACCACACAGCACCTTACGTGTTACCACACAGCACCTTACGTGTTACCACACAACACCCTGTGTTACCACAAAGCACCTTACGTGTTACCACAAAGCACCTTACGTGTTACCACACAACACCCTGTGTTACCACAAAGCACCTTACGTGTTACCACACAACACAATGTGTTACCACAAAGCACCCTGTGTTACCACACAACACTCTGTGTTACCACAAAGCACCTTACGTGTTACCACAAAGCACCTTACGTGTTACCACACAACACCCTGTGTTACCACAAAGCACCTTACGTGTTACCACAAAGCACCTTACGTGTTACCACACAGCACCCTGTGTTACCACACAGCACCTTACGTGTTACCACAAAGCACCTTGTGATACCACACAACACCCTACGTGTTATCACACAGCACCCTGTGTTACCACACAACACCCTACGTGTTATCAGACAACAAACTATGTGGTACCACACAGCAAACTATGTGATACCACACAACCCCCTATGTGATACCACACAACACACTATGTGAACACACAACTATGAGATAACACACACATGTGTTAACTATCAATTGATATGACGCAGCTTTCACCGATATGATTGCCTCATGATCCAAGTCACATCTCCGCGGGTGATATGTTTAGTGAGACACAAACAACAGCTCTGATGACGTGGCGTGCGCACCAACGACGTGCATTTCATTGCGACGATGGATTTAGACTTTAGGAATTTTTTTTATAATTAATGCTGATGATGGCGTATTTAGCGTAGCAGATACGCTTTTGATGTAGCATCATCATCATCATCATCATCATCATCATCATCATCATCATCGTCGTCGTCGTCACTATCATCATCACACCCACCAAGAAACAAACATTATGCTTTTTGATCTTCTATGTTCTAAACGCTTCCTCACTTAAAATCATATTTTCCACGTTACTGTACAAGTAGCGTGAGTAGATGGCAGCTATGCATGACAGCAACAAGTACAACAGCTAATATGAACACGACGACTATCCCCCCCCCCTAAAAAAACGCGCAGAAAATAAATATCATAGCTTTTAACAAAAGGGACCCGAGCAGTGAATGAAGTAAAGGCGGGCGCATCACGCCCCAGCATGGATGAATGCTAGGTGACGGCGCCCGTGTGAACTACCGGCACTCCGACTACGATACGATTACCGACCAGAGCTACATTGATCTTGAATCGTGAAAGAGAGAAAAAAACTCCAACGTTTTATACATTTTGTAACTAATACACATTGTAGAGAGATTGTACGGATGCACTGTGTGTGTGTGTGTGTGTGTGTGTGTGTGTGTGTGTGTGTGTGTGTGCGTGTGTGCGTGTCAAGCACGGCAGTGCTCAGCCACCGTGGTGCGCGTGACGCGAACACTAACGCTGCGACCGCACGCAGCCGCTACAGCGGTGTCAGTAGCCGTCCCCCGCGTCCGGTCATGTACGTGCCTGCGCTTCACCTACCGTATACGCACTAACATACGGACCTCGCATCCCCCTCCCACCGCCGCGCATGCAAACCCTGCCTCACCGCACAGCCTGCATACACGAAGGGTTGTCTGTCTGCATGCCAACAGTACTGCTAACTATGCGGCTGTTGCGAGGTCAGTAGCTATCCTGATACAGTAACCTGACCACACATAGTTCAGGGGTAGGCAGGTAGGTACGTAGGTAGGTAGGTGCGTCGGTAGGTAGCAAGGTAGGTGAGTGGGTGGTTTGTGCAGGCAGGCAGGCAGGCAGGCAGACAGGCAGACAGACAGGCCGCTAGGCAGGTCAACATTCCTTATCCCTCTCACTTCCATGCCATTTACTATATACACATAGTACACATCAATGTGCACGTATCGTCCACATAGTAATTTGTTAAAAATCACCATTTTTCGCGATGATCGTACGGGACATTGCTGATCAGGCTACTGGCATGTGGTGATCAATGAGCTGCATGAAGATGAGCCCGTCTGTAGGAGCCACCGCGTACTCTTGCACCCGCCGTTACAGTGATATTGTAAGCGCATACAACACATATACAGTAGCATGAATAGCTTTTGGGCACATCTATCCAAATCTCTATGTTGTACGATCACCCCGTGATAACCTTCCACATAAACGGCGGTAACAAATTAACGACAAAAACACTTTACCTACATGTAGTTGAGAGGGAAGAGGAGGAGAGGCGGGATGGCGTTACATTACTACTCTATGAAAAAATCACGCTTCCCGCTCTCCCTCTCATGACACCACACGAGAAATGCCTCACAGGCCAGAGAAACCATATCGGCATAAAAGTCCCGTTAAAGTTTACATATTACGTAGAGTCGAAAAGAAAGAATAATAATATCGACACCACCTCCCCACGCACTAGAACCTAAGAAATTCTGACACCTCTACGTAATGCTAGACTGCAGTCTAAAGTGACCCTAGCCCTTAGCCTAACCCTTGAACTGCACGCCAAAACTCAATAAATGCTGAACCTGCCATTGTGGCTTCACACGAGGGACTAGTAACCATGGCAACTGCCTGCTTCGCTGCTTCCTCCGGTTCGGTTGCCACACGAACGCAGTCGACACCGCGCGTGCTCCCGCAAAACGGTCGCGACGCCCGACAGCGGTGCTGCCCTCTGGTTGAATCGCTCCCTACATACCTGTCAGTTTAAAGATATAAGAGAAACAACTGGCAATGACGCATCAGCCAGCCAAAATACACAGATCCAGGGACTCTTCCAGGCGTTTTGGCGTTCAGACGGCACGACATCCCCCAACCCACCCACCGGTGACCCCCCCCCTCACAATCGCACGAGGGGTTTCACGTGCAGGCGACAAAAAATGCGCGTGGCGACGGATCGTCACACGTGCCCGACGCCACTACGCAACGACAGCCGACGCAATCTGTCCTTGTGTCACCCCAACCCCTTCGAAACTGCGTAGTTAACATTAGGAAGTGGGTTGGCAGGGTCGCGTCACCTCTCTGCGTTCCCACCCTCCCCATAATACTACCCCCCAGCAGTTCTTCCTCTTTACACCTACAGGCTACCCTCGTAGGGCAAGATCTCTCGCTTGGTTCAGTATTGACCCCCTTCTTCCTTCCCCGTCTAACTTATCGCGTGCCCACCAACCTGCGAGAGATTTAATAGTCTTTATTTGAGCATATAAAGATGGAATATTTGTTTTCATTAATTTGGGCGTATTTTTTTTCAGTTCCTTCTCCTATTCGTTCTTCCGCTTCAGTATCACACTTTGCATCTCCTTCTCTGCAATCGCCTTGGTGATTTCCATCTGTCAACGGAAAATCCTGGTTTGTTAATCTCGATGATCGTCTTATTATTATGATGTCTTACTAATCATAATACAGTGATTATGATTTAGTGTTTGATAACTTGCAATTATTGCAACTATTAGTTCAATCTTCCTTTTTTTATTAATTCTTACTCTTAAAATATCAATTTTTTTTTAATTGTATTATACTTAGGAATCAACTGTCTAGAACAGTTTTTCTATAGAGTTGGGTTCAAAGTCTTTTGAGCAATGAAATGGCGTGCCGTCTAGCAATGGAAGATAACATAAGTCTGCATAGATCCGTTTCGACGTCAACAGCCCGTACTGCTAATACCCATCTATCCGCTACCGTGACTTGCACCTTTTTTGCTATTATGTCTCTTCACTCTTAAGTCTACCTTTTTTCTTTTTTTTTTGTTGTTTTTTTGCGGAGCGACCCACCTAACTATCGTGCAAGAGGCGCACTTTACTCTTTTTTTTTTTTTTTTTTTTTAACATCTGTTGCAAGGTGTTTTGCTCCACCTTTTTAATCTTATCTGCAATTGGCTTTCCATCTCATTACAATTGTATTATGTCTGTCGTCTTCATGTCCCTTTTTTTTTTGTTTTTTTTTTTTTTTTTTTTATCATTTTTTATTTTCTTTGTTTTTTTTTTTTTTTTTTTTTTTTTTTTTTTTTTTTTTTTTTTTTTTTTTTTTTTTTGTTGTCTTTTTTTTTTTTTTTTTTTTTTTTTTTTTTTTTTTTTTTTTTTTTTTTTTTTTTTTTTTTTTTCTTTTTTCTTTTTTTTTTTTTTTTTTTTTTTTTTTTTTTTTTATTTTTTCTGCAAGGGCTGCCTTCACGTTTTTCCAACATGCAACGGGGACTCACCAACACGCAAAGGGCCCACCGTACACCCGCAAGGGCGCCACTGAACACTGCAAGAGCGGCGCGGCCCAACTACTCACCGATGAGGTTGCGGATGACGAGGGTTTCGTTACTTGACGAAGCTGAATAGACTAGGGAAGCCCGTGAGCATGATCAGCGCTCCGAACCTCAAAACGAGCGGCGCTCGTTTAACATCGTTACAGCTCTTTAGCAATTCGTTTAACTGATTCGCGTTCGACGCTGGCTTGGAATCAACCCGGGTGAGCTGACCTTGGAATATCGTATCGAGCTAGATCAACTTATATTTTTACACTGGAACCATTGCACCAAGGCATGCTACTGCAAATCATGTAAGCACTTTTGCAACAATACCTCGTTCACATGATACGAGACCTTCGTATTTATGACATACGGATTGCGAAATACCGATCTGAGACAAATACGCGCCGATCGTTCAACACGCTGCTTAAGCTGCTAAACAATGCAAGCTAACATGCAATAAAACAATGCATATGCGCACCAACTGCCGATAACAAATACGAGACTGGTCCGCGCTTCCGACATTTCATCCGCTTACAACTGTACTGTCGAGCGCGACCAGTTCTATCAAATACGCGGCTTCAGAAATCCGGTATAGCGTTCTACGTGCGAGGAAATGCGCGGCTACATAGAGATTTCGGTATTTCTCAAGCACGGCACAATTATACGGGGTCGGAATCCGCTATTACATCAAATCCGAATCTGTAGATACTTATTCTGGACGCGCATTGCCAGATTCGTGGACCGCATAAACTATCCTGCATTCTTGCTAGCGTTGAACGCGGCTATAAGCATTTAGAACACCCTCTATTGCAAGAGTCGCAAGCTGGCCTCTCAGTCATCCAGGAGGATGCTGACCGCAAAACTGACTGTCTAATTGCGCGCTGCATCGACCCTTGGAGAGAAAATTTCGCTCGTCCGCTGTGACACGACGCGCGAAATCGTCCCAAACCGGAAGTAAACGCACGATTTGTTACCAGGCCACACTGCGTGTGCGTGCGTGCGTGGGTGCATGTGTGTGTGCGACGTTCGGGTGGCGTGCAATTGTGCTGTGTTGCGTGTGCGTGCATGAGTTGACGCGAGGTGGGGACCCATTGTGAGTATGTACCTGTGTCCTTGGCTCTAGCTATGGCCGCAGAACAACTCAGAATATGAACCTAACGTTAGTAGGAATCGGCACAAGATTAGTTCACGGTCTGAATAACAACGGAACATTATCAAATCCACGCACATCAACACCAGACACCGGACAGCATGACCTAATAACACGGTTTGTGAGGAACGCTGAAAGACCGCAGTCATATCGATATATGCTAGTCAAAATCGA